CCTTCTGGTCCTTCATGGTGGCATCCAAATGCGTTACCTTAGTGAACTTACGCCCGAGGGACTTCACTTGAGATTGGATAAAAGTATGGCCGAATTTCTGGTCACCAGTGACCACCTCTGAGTAGGGTACATCAGGACCTTCCAAACGGCGCTTCTCCTCAGCTAGACGGGCGGCCTTGGCCTCCTCCTGATACAGGCAATAACCATACCATAACACGACCACATCGTCTCCTACCTTTTGTCGCTTAGCCTCTTCCTTGGCTCTCTTCTTCTCTAGCTTGGCAAGCTCCTTCTCGGTGAGCTCCTCCTTAGGAGGTTGCTGCTGCTGTCCTTCCACTGGACTAGACATGTTCGATATAATCAACTTCTTGTTGATGCCAATAGATGCCTTTGAAAAGGAGTAATAAGCCATACCCACTCAAGGGTAGTTACCTCCCATATTCTCCCAAGAGAGATGTCCCGACTCAGCGGCCTCCCCCAGTAGATCGGTCGCTGCTGTCGAGACACCACTCCAAGAAGTCTACCGAATTTCGTGCAGATTTCACTAATGATACTTCGATCGAATTACAATAAGAAAATCAATCCCTACAAAGTAACGCTTATCCACGCTATAGCACTTCTAAGAAACTTTATATTGCAGTCGCGCGCGCCATTATAATCGACTGTGTGTCATTGGAGAGAAATGCAGCTTGGTTATCCTGTCCCATCTCATCGTTGTCGATGCTACAGTCAAGGCTGGGAACCCAACTATTTCTCTCTAATGCCCGAGTATCTCAGAGGCGTACCAGTTGAGCTTATCACTGGACGGATAAATGATTTACTTTATCATTCTTCCTTGAATTCTATGCTTTACCGTAAATCACACAATTCAAGGAAGACTGATGAGGTTCAAGAAGCTTCAGAGATACGGTTACCTTATATACCACTTTTATAACAGTTCGGGGATCTGGCTGCCCTGTCGGCTTCCAAGACGAGTGGTATGAGGGTTCCCTCTACCACGCCGCGAGTTCGATTTATCCTTTTCCTTGAATTTTGTACTTCCCATATCACCCACAATAGGACTCTCAGGGGCTGTACCAATAACCGTACACGCTGACTCTTCTACACCAGTTTGATCAGTCTTAGCTACAGTAGTAAATTGGTTGGATATGTCCACAGTAGCCGAGTTCCCTCCAGAGAGGTCTGTGCCTCTCACTGAGGAGGCTCTAGCTCTCGAGAAACGACTCATAGAAGAAATTCAACAACTAAACACAACAGAAGACGCGATAACATTCCTTCGCCGAATTATTGTAATACCATAAATCGAGCAACTCGCCATGCCATCGATACGTTCAGTCGGAACTTCGTAGCAACACCACTCTACGCCAAGTTGCCCCCGGCCTTCTCAGTCCTCTGATGGATCTGGCCAAAGGGAACCTCCTTGAGGAGTCCCAGGAGGGCAGGAAGATACTAAAAGATACCATGTATGTCGGGAAGCCAGAAGTCGACGATGATGCTGTTGCCTGTCCTCAGATGCGAGATAGCAGTCGTATCCCGTCCTCGAGAGTGCTACACCTTCCTTATGGAAGCACTATCCCTTCTACCCGATAGAGAGGTAATATCAACTTCCATGCTGTCCTATCATACACCAGTCAGGCTCGAGGGACCACCACTACCACCTTTGTGGCCGCAGCAGCTCTATTGCGGGGCCTATCACGCCTCATGGTCCGGGTAGAGTCGGGCCGTATGAAAAGCGATAGAGCAAGGTGATAGGGTCTTCCCAATAGGCTCCTTCATAACGTCTATAGGCGTGCATTCTCTCACCTCAGGTATCTAGTCGGTATAGTAGCGATGATACAGCGTAAGTTTTTCGCCCAACCCAAGGACGGCAGTCCTTCGTATTGGAATGCTTCCAACGACTGTGAACTCCTAGAGGAGATCTGTGGTGCATGTATAGAGCTCATCAGCACCTATGGATATGATGCTAAGGTCGGTGCTGCTTTACAGGAGGATCCCAAGGAATCTTCATGTCGACTAGAGGTACTGACATGGTCTTGGTTAGGAGATGTTCTCAACCCTTAGTCCCATCAGGTTCTAACATCATTAGCGTGCTTGGTTTCAGAGGAGCTCTGTCGTAGGGTGTCCAAGAGCAGAGTAGGTCTGCCCCTGCTCGGGGATAGTCCAGAGGAATACAAGCTACAGGACAACACTGTTGGCAAGCTTCTCAACGATGGTACTGTTCTGGTGCTGTTTCCTCACCTGTTTACTGACTATTCATAGGAGTTCATATACGAATTGGGAGAATATTTACGAGGAGTGTGCTCAACCTAACAAGAGTTTTCCAAAATTTCTTCAGAATTTTGATATTGTCACCAACACATGTGGTTGACCATGTGCAAATTTTACCACACTCTCAGTAGTAGTGTGGTCTTATCCCATCTCAGTGAACTCTGCCGTCTACCACTCCTCGGGTATACTCCAGTACACCTACAATAGAATCCTCACTCTAGTACCGCACGAGGAGACGGGGTGAGGCTATCTGCTACTACTGTCGTAGTGAAGATAGATGCAACACAGGTTGATGCAGAGTAGTGACGGTGTGAGCGCGCTGGATATGGCCCGGTCGAGGTTGGGCTGGCTGGTCTTGGCCTTTGTGGAGCGCCCGAGAGGATCTCCTGTCTGGATGCCTCTAGTCTGGTCGCATGCAGTATACACTCATATTTTCGCATGTAAAGCAGTTTATGCAACCATCACGTTGACAATTATTTTCACAGGTACTGTACAGCTCCTCTTTGAGAGTAACGATATCATAGCGATTCGAAGTGGCCTGTGAGTAACCTCTCGAGATGCCTATCCCGCACATACCTTCCTCAGTCGCCTCTTTGGTAAGGAGCTGCAGGGACATCTCCCTTACCAGAACTTCATCGAGGGCACACGACAGCGTTGGAATCCTGGTAATCTCTTCCGCCACGTGCTAGAGATTGCTATCACTAGTGACGAGGCTATGGTAGTAGTAGTGGTGGATAAATCAGGACCCAATGAATCGGGTGTACTCAGATGACCCTGGGAGAGCGTCAGAGGATGTACACCATTGTGGAGGGGGACCTTAGGACCTTACCAATAGAGGAAAGACTGGAGGTGGGTGGTTTAGGCTGGGGATGCTCAGGTCGGACGGTGTGATGGTAGACCTATTATCAAGTAGAGAAGACCAGTAGAGTGGACCAAGTGGTAGGTATTATACTCAAGTTATATGAGGATGATTGGTGGAGTGAAGTAATAGTAGTTGCTTCTCGCGATGGGGTTTACACTACACTGTAGGTCCTCCAACAACCTGATGTGGTACGGCTCAGTTTAGTAGACAAGTTTACTCAGGCTATACAGACTGCTCTCACTGGCGACTTCAAGGTAGTAGTAGTAGTAGTAGTAGTAGTAGTAGTAGTAGTGTTGCATTTCGATGTTAGGTGGTGGACGGTACTGATACCATCATTGGAGCTGTTAATTGGTGTATAATGATATGGTTGGCGGACCCCATCAATAACGCTACGGCACGGCATATAAGATCCTCTCAGTGGCTTAGTGGAGTTGTCACTTCCCTGGTAGAGGGTGTGGCCAGCCAGATCGATGCTGAATTGAGGATAGTAGCCGAGGATAGTGCCGATGAGGAACTGAAGGGTGTGGAGATGAGCCGATTACAATTGGTGGCGGCCACTGTGGGGAGGCTGAGAGAGTTGCTAACTACAAACACCTTGGCAAAGGATGTTGATGATGATAGTGTTATAACAGATATAAACAAATCCTAATTTATGGTTTCTGAGGTTTCGAAGTTGTGTTGTTACGATGTTAATTATCACGAATACGCAACAGGAGAGTAATAATGGTAGAAGGAACGTTAGCCGACGAAGACCTCAAGAGGTCCACGCCTTCCAGGCTGGAGATAGTGACTAGTAGATTTCGGTGAGAGTATAACTAAGTGTACCATTACTCGGCCTTCTTATGCTTCATAGGTCGGTATTGACCAATGACCACAGCATGGTCTCTGTGGTAGGGCTCCAAGGTGAGCTGCTCCTTGGGTCTGAGGGCAGAGGGGCAAATGATGAACTCTACCGGGCTCGTGTACTTACCTCAGCTTGTCCTTCTTAAGCTTCTCAATCTCACTAGCGAAGACGGCCTCGGGGGCAGCAGTAGAATCGACACAGTTAGCCTTGATGGAGATGATGTACCATCCATTGTTCTTGAGGAACTGCTGGGCGTTGACAGCAACGATACGGGCCTGGTCGGGCTGGGCCACATCGGCGAAGATGACGTCTACCATGGGGACGAGCATCCTGTAACGGAGGGGCTGACGGGCATCCTCGATGATGGGGACCTGATGAAGGGGATAAGAGGGAAGGAAATACCTTAGAGGGCTTACGATGTTGGGACGCTTCTTGGCCATGTTGGTGAGATCACGACCAGGACGATGGGCGAACTCAACACCATAGACGCATCCAGTGGGGCCGACCATATCGCTGACGTGGGAGACGGTGGTACCAGAGGCAGCACCCAAGTAGAGGACCTTGCTGCCAGGCTTGATGGGCATGTTGGCAACACCACCGACAATGGTAGCACCCAACTTGGAACGGAAGGGGTTCCATACACGGTACTCGATCTTCTCGGGCTGGTCTTGGCCTTCTACTGGCTTCTCAACGGTGATACGCTTCTCACCATAGACGCTCTCACCGGGGGCCATGTTGCGGGTTAGGAGAGCCTCATCCTTACCACGGGATACGAAGCAACCCTCGAAGCGATGGGGCTCGACGATGACCTTGGCGGGTCCCTTATGGCCTCCCTTGCCCTTTCCTCCCTTGCCCTTGCCCCCCTTGCCTTTACCCTTACCCTTGCCGCTCATACCCTTTCCCTTGCCCTTGCCTTTGCCGCTCATGCCCTTCCCTTTACCCTTACCAAAGCTGCCACCTTTCATTGTGGAATCAAAGTCACTACTGAACAGCAATGGCGGTGCCTTTATTATGCGGACTGGCTAGTCACAAGAACAATCACGAGATCGTATTCTAGCCTCATCTAAGGGGACATCATCGTCCTCAATAGTAGAAGGACTCAGTTCACGTGAAACCACCATCACTGTTCCCAACTCAACGAACATCCATGAAGTCGTAAGGTGTTCACAGCCACAGCTCTTTTACGACGCGGAGCACCAGGTTTCGCCAACTCGCCAAACTTGGCGAAACCTGTAACCGAATGGTCAAATGACTAGTCGGCAAAATCCTTTATAACCCCCTCGCAGACGGAATTACAGCGCATTGGTATCTGTAGCGAACAGGTTTCGACGAAATTTTTGGTATGACCGTTCACCAAACTTTCGAATTCGCTCGCCCGTACGCGCAAACCACCTTCATAGCATGTAATTTGCCTACAAGGGGTGGTCCAAATCCGTTTCTGTGCAGGATAGGACCATAATTTTGGCTCTGTTAGGCGAATACTTTCAACACAGCCAAACTAAACCAGGAATCAGCGAATTTTTCGTCGTAAATGGGGTCATTCAGAATTTGCCAACAAACTAATTTTATAGGTGAAAGCTCTTGTACACGCATGATTTGCCTAAAACTTGTGCGTATTCAGCTTATAACCACTATTCGCCGTAAATTGTCGCCGAAACATGTTTGCTGATTTTCATGGCTTGACAGAATTCCGCGGATGACGGTTGCGTCAACTTGGCAGTTTTTGGTTAGAGTCTCGCTTCGAGACTTTTGAAGATGATATTCAAGTTCATGATGAGTTGTTCATCATATCAGATCATTTCCTACAGATGACCATGGGACTTTCGTTGACTTCCGACTTACATGAAACACCGTGACATAATATTATGACTATAATATGGATGCGAATACTCTTCACTCGTTTCAGACTGAGCTTCGGGAACATCTTCTTGAGCCAGGCGTCTTGACGTGTAACCCGACACACATCACGTGTCGGCCGAGGTGATTGTTACGTCTTAGATCCTACGAGAGTTGTAATGACATCAGATCGTAGAGATCTTATCTCGCTTGCGTGCAGAATGCCAAGTTCTTGCCTTGTTGGTTCCGAACCAATGGTTCGTGACTCGCTGTTAGGAAGGTATGCACTAATTTTGTGGTTGAGTATCTTTCATTTGTGTGTAAATATTTGATAATTCGGTGAGTGGGCTTTTCCGTCGTGTTAATGTGTCTTTTGTCTTTCCCGGAACTTCAAACGCAAAACAATGACAATACGCAGAATAAACTCAATCAATTGAAATCAGATGGCTATTGTCAGCACTTCTACTTTCTAGTATTTCATACACCACTTACCAATAACTTGTTTACAGTGTAAACTTTACACTAAAATTTCAGTAAGATTCCACAACGGAATCAAGAATATCAATACAAGACTGAGACGGAACCACCAGTGTTGCACTGCAAGTACAGAGACGTAAGATCTACATGGACCGTGGTAACTCATTCATAATGTATTAAGATTCTTTCCAAATGGGAAACGTGACGTACGGGACCCATAAGAGAGCGTGTCACGTCACGAATGAGGGACGAAAATGAGAGAGGATGGAATAAGGACATGTATATGTGTAAGGCTTACACTGGAAGCTGGACACAAGATGAGGCTGTGGTCAGACAGACGAACTATCGTAGTTCGGCACAGAACTAACCTCACCATATTTGTTATCCACCAACTCCATAAACTCAAGACTGTTAGATACTGAATCGGACTCAGTAACGTTACACGACCCATTAAGGATGAATGAAAACAGTGAAACATGTGATGAGAACAGAGTGATGACATGTTTATATTATAAACTTCACAGGACTAACAATTGGTCCATAAATTGTTTATAACAATTTATTTACACTTCGCTCCGCTGGTTACACAATTTCTTGAATGTTGGTATAATCTGTGTCTTCCGACGACTAGGCAAAACCCGTATACTCATAAATCATGCCAAGTCGCGGAAATCAGTATTCAGCAAGAGTTGCTGAATTCCTTCATACGTAGGTGTTATACCAACCATTTTCCCGCCGCCAACCAAACGTTCTTTCACCAAGAACTCCGCCGTTTTCTAGTCTTGTATCGGAAACGCCGACCCGGTGTTATCAGCGTAATATCCCGTATTTGACCGCTTTTCTTGGTGTTTGGCAAATGAAATCTGTGCGGTGGTTACTTGGCGAAATCCGAGTTGGCGAAACCTGTTACGCCCTTACGACGGAGGACGACGAAAGCGCACGCCCTGATGATCGATTATTTTTGGTCCCAAAACTCATGGTGAAGGACGGAGCAGAACCTTTACGAGTGGTAGGTGGGGATATCAGGCTTGTCGATACCCCTACCCTCTTTGGGCGGCCTCTGTGATACAATCCTGTAATGGACAAGGCGAAAAGCGACTGAATTTTACCCCTGCAAAATGAAGTTTCAGTAAAGGAGCACCTTGGCTACCCTCGTACTGCCTGAACCGATGACGTTCATGCGTTACATGAAGGGTCTAGGGCCTGCATGGGGACATGTGAGCTCTGGTTGTTTGGATAGGTATTCTTCCACCTAGACTTGGGCATCGGTGGGGCTGAGAACCTTGTAGTGTCAGCAGCAGAGGGCCTACAACGGTAATAGAAACAACTGGTAGGGTCAATGCAGTAGGCGATTCAGGTTAGGGCATAAGGTGGAGTTTTATACCTCCCATCACGACCCACAACACTGTTTTCAATCGACTAGGGATGGGACGCTCAAAGTGACTGTCGCCGGAGACTGGCTGCCTCGTAAGTATCTTGAGGTTGCCTGTGGAAGATACGGAATAGGTCCAATTAGGCACCATATTTGGCCACTTCACTGTGGTGTGTGCTATCCTCCGCATGGTCTACCTCTGTCTGTACGCATTCATATCTGGAGCCCGATTCGATGTAGCTATTAATGACCAGGTAAATGCACTGAATACGACCATGTGGTTGAGGCCACCTTCAGGTTTCCTTTATAAACCCTCTACTGCGCCTTATCGCGCCACGGGTCATCTTCTATTGCCATTTCCCTGACCAGCTATTGTGTGCTGATCGGACCCTCGCCTTGAAGCGGCTCTATAGGTAGTAGCCCTGTAGTGGAGGCATACAGTATGATATTCGTTGTGGTTGAAGCTCGGTACTGTTTAGTGATTTGGTAGTACTTGTATGAAAAAGAGCAGGCCTAGAGAATGTTCCATGTCGCGCGCCACGAAATTGTATTGGATCGCCATCGAATAGGTATCCAGTGGACCGTATGGAGGAGTTAACCACAGGACTAGCGGACTGTATTGCCGTTAATAGTCAATTTACTAAGGAGACTACTAGGAGGACCTTCCCATCACTGAAGGGCAAGGAGCTCCGGGTAGTAGATGATGCAAAGGCTATTGAGGATGGTGATGGTAGGTGGTGTACCCTCCTGTGGACCTTACTGCTACTGATGCCTTCCTCGCCAATGGACCACGCATCCCACCTAAGGACGAGCTGGATCCAAGCATCGCGGCAGAGCTGGTCAAGAGCGGCTTCTATGTGTCTCTGAATAGGTAGTAGTAGTAGTAGTAGTAGTAGTAGTAGTAGTAGTAGTAGTAGTAGTAGTAGTAGTAGTAGTTGTTGTGAAGTGGAGGGAGTGTGGTATGTGGTATTCGGCCAGATATGAGCGTAAGAAGAATATTGCCTTGGCTATTGTGGCTTATAAGCTCTTTCTTGAGTCCTCTGATGCATCTGCTGTTGACATCGATTCACTTCCCCGTCTAGTAGTAGCTGGTGGTTACGACTCCCGGGTTCGAGAAAATGTCGAACACTATAGTGAACTGAAGGTGATACCATCTGAAAGTGTTGCTCTCTTTGACGGGTGTCTTTCAGGAGAAGGCTCGAGGGATGGGAAGGGAAGTCATCTTCCTACGTTCAGTCTCGGACGGTGTGAGGCTGTGGCTTCTGCGGAATGCCTTGGCCACTTTGTACACTCCCAGTAGGGAACACTTCGGTATAGTTCCATGTGAAAGCATGGCATTAGGTAGCCACTCTGGACCTTTTCTGTATCTTGTGTGGTCAACCTAAAGATACCTCAGGCACCCCTGTCATCGCTCCTCGTAGTGGTGGACCTCTGGAGAGTATCTGTGATGGCAAGACTGGACGACTCTGCCGTGAAGGCCCGTCCGAGCCGTATGAATTCTGCAGAGCTATGAAAGAGTTCCAACATAAGGATGTAGTAAAAACTTCAATTCCCATTGAAGTTAGTTTGACCATCTTTTATGGTGGTAGTCATATTTTCGCTCATACTAATATCATTGGAATTTCGCTCGTTTTACGTGAAGTAGCGTAGAACACGATACTCGCGATATGAAGTAGTCGTGAAATCTATTTTTCACTAGTGTTTCTCGTATCACGGGCGAAACTCCATCATAGGGGTGGTACTATGAGAGCGTATGCCCCCGCCCCCGTGTTGGCACTTTTCTAAAGCTAATGTCGTTGGAGTGTATGGTATCGTCACAGGCCAACAGAGGGAAGGTCTGTGAGGACTGGGTACGGCAGAAGTTCGGTCTAGAGCATTTCGCTGGAGAGCTGGATAAGGTGAATCAGTCTTTGGGGGTAGTGGGAAGAAGCTCATCGTCATTTGTAGATGGTCCGGGGTTGTCCTGCTGCTACTGAAGATACTACCAATGCTTGTGACGGGAAACCTCGTAGTAAAAAAGCGAAGCGAAGCGGCGGGTATCCGAGGCGCCGATGATGATGGTGATTCAGTGATGATGATTTTCTGAAGTCTTTGGTGTTGCGTTGAGTGACCTGATGTGAAGGGCATGTCTGTGGCAGTTTTTGAATCTTACATTCCCTGAGCGGTGATATGGTGGTGTTATCAGCCGCCATAGTATCGGACCAGAAGGTCTTATTGGCCAGGCAGTTCGTTGACGTGACAAGGCTTAGGATGGAGGGTGAGGAAGAGGGGCTGTGGGGAGGGGGATGGTCTCTGTACTTCTAGCTCGGCAGTTCGTCGACATGCCTAGACTACGAATTGAAGGTTATTTTCTCCAATCGTGAATCGCTAGGCTCCGCTGAGTGGTCTGTATGTAGGTCTACTGGGAGCGTTCATGAAGCTGGTAGAAAATCAGAAGTCCGATCACACCTACATCGAGACGGAGAATATTCGTTATGTTTATCAACCCATAGAGCAGCTCTACTTGGTAGGCAGTAGCAGCAGCTGAGTGGACGTATATGGGAGTTAGGTCCTTTTGACGAGCAGGGAGTCTAATATTCTCGAGGACCTTGGCACGCTGAAGCTACTCACGACGGTACTCGCTGCTTACTCTAGGTTGATCACAATCATTGTAGGTTGTCCCCGAGGTTGTTAGGAATACTATTTGTGAGGAAACGGTGTTGGACAACGCGTTTGATTTGGTGTTTGCCTTTGACGAGATCATTACGTTTGGGTAGGCGACTGTAGGTCGACGGAGGTGAGGTGATGCTGTTGGTTAGGTATCGAGAGGCTGTTACTCTATCTCAAATAAAGACCTATACCGAGATGGACTCCCATGAGGAGAGATTGGCTCAGATGATTGAACAGAGCAAAGTAAGACGGCTTGGTAGTTGGCCGGGCTGATGAGGGAGGGCTCATGTCAGATGAATGAGGCCAAGGAGGTGGCTAAGAAGAAGCAATTGGAGTTGGCTAGACTACGGGCCCAACAGGCTAAAGGTATTCACAATTGGGTGGTGACACTCTAGCAGTTGGTTGGTGATGGTCAGAGGAAAGGCTACGGGCCCGTATGATGCCCTCTGGGGCTGATGATTCCCCGACGGGCTTTGGGAGTGACAACGTCTTGGGTCGTTACGAGGGGGAGGAGGAGAGGGGTCCTATAGGGGGCAGTAGTAGTCAGAGGTTTGAAGGTCGGAGTGGTCGTTGGAGCTCGGTCGGATCTTGGGCCCTTAGGTGGTGGCTTCACCAGTGCTGCTGTGGACATCCAACCATCTGGAGCTGATGACCGATATGATGGATCCTTCCCGATGGCTGGTGGACCTAAGAAGTAGTAGTTGGTCTCGGTGATGCACTTGGTAGATTGATGCCTTCAGGGGGTTGGTCCTTGGGCGCAAGAGGGGCCAACAGGGAGGAGGACCTAATGGTAAGTGACCATCCTGGACAGGGCTCGTCGTCTGCTTATCGATTCAGCTATCGCCCCTACCCTTGGTGAGATGATGGCGATGACTGCCCGGCCTGGGGAGCAAGGGCTAGAGTGAAACCATGATGAGTCATGATGGCGGCTGGGCTACTCTATTCAACACCGTATAGCAGTATAGTGTATTTTTTGGTTGCAGTAGTAGTAGAAGCGCCCTTTTCCCTAGGAGTCTTGTGGCTGTGGAGTTGCTGGTGGTTGTAGTTCTAATTGGAGTTACTTGTTTTTTCTCCTACGACTAACATCCATCGTTAATGGTAGTTTTATCAGCAGCAGTGGTTTCCAAGCAGAAGACACTTCTAGCTCGGCAGTTCGTCGACATGCCTAGACTACGAATTGAAGGTTATTTTCCCCAATCGTGAATCGCTACGCTCCGCTGAGTGGTCTGTATGCAGGTCTACTGGGAGCGTTTATGAAGTTGGTAGAAAATCAGAAGTCCGATCACACCTACATCGAGACGGAGAATATTCGTTATGTTTATCAACCCATAGAGCAGCTCTACTTGGTAATTGTAGAGTGGGGTTTACTGAGGGGTACGCTGCGGATCAGGTGCTTATCACGACGAAACAGTCGAACATTCTAGAGGATCTGGACACGCTCAAGCTGTTCACTAACGTAATGGTCAGAGGCTGTAGTGGGATGATGACCAGTGGTTGACCGCAGGTGGTGCAGGAAGTAGTGAAGACCTCAGTAACGGAGGATGCTGTTCTGGATAACATCTTCGATCTTGTATTTGCGTTTGATGAGGTTGTCAGCTTTGGGTAGGCGACTGTAGGTCGACGGGGATGAGGTGATGCTGTTGGTTAGGTATCGAGAGGCTGTTACTCTATCCCAAATAAAGACCTATACCGAGATGGACTCCCATGAGGAGAGATTGGCCCAGATGATCGAACAGAGCAAAGTAAGACGGCTTGGTAGTTGGCCGGGCTGACGAGGGAGGGCTCATGTTAGATGAATGAGGCCAAGGAGGTGGCTAAGAAGAAGCAACTGGAGTTGGCTAAACTACGGGCCCAACAGGCCAAAGGTATTCACAATGTGTGTTCATCGTGTCTAGTCGGACATACTCCTTTTCAGAGGCGAGGCTCCGTAGTAGTCGACAGGGTTATTCCACTGCCGAGTCCCTCACTACCCCGAGTGGGTTTGGTAACGACACTGCTGTGGATGAGTTCTCTTCCATCGGTGGTGATGATTTCGGTGTACCTCGGCCGGTTCAACAGCAACAGCAGCAGCGATTTCAAGGTTACCGGCGGCCCCAGTTCGCATCGCTTGCCTAGCGCGTCCCTCCCCAGGTGGTGGATTCACTTCAGCAGCGGCAGGGTCGGAGGGTTCATTGAATGACTACTACCAACAGCAGCAGCAACAGTCGTTCGCATCAGGAGCCCCTAAGAAGTAACTAGACCTCGTGGTTGTCGAGTTGCGTGGATTCTGTTATTTTCAGGGGTCTGGTCCTGGGCAGGAAGAGACGCCAAGCTCCGATAGGTGGTGACATTTATTCGCGTAGGGGCCGCTGAGTTCCCTCTGTGTTAGGTCAGTTGAGTGGAATGACGATGAACGATCAGCCCAACGACATGGGCGGCCTGGAGTAACTCAGACAAGTGACGATGATGGTGATGATGATTTACGACACTGTTGTTGTTATTGTCTTATTTGTGGTGATGATATTTCTACACTTAGTGGTTTTGGATTGTTGATTGAGGAGGTGCCGCATGGGTTCGGAATGTGTTGGGCGGCATTCTTTCTAG